ATTTTAACAGTGATTTTCGATGTAAACAACGTGTCGATGAGTGCGTGTTGTGACAATAAAATGAAATGTACAACTTGACGTGCTGTCAATCACTAATTATATGTTAATTTATGTTAATTCGTTTTCCCGCCAAAGCATATTCATGATTTAGTGATCATAGAATTTGGAAAGCGTTTTACTTGATAACGTGTTCAATTTGAAAGATTTTAATTTGAAATTTTTTCTGACGACAGATCTATTTCCTAGCTACAAGAAAATTAAATAATTTTTTTTTTTTAAATTTTAAAATTCTAGGGTCTCCTGTAACCTTAAATGAAAGAACTCTTTTAACTATAGTGTAACTTATTTTTCAGTTTCTTGTTTTTATGGTTTGTTCCCGAGATATTTCAATTTGTTTGATATGTAAATGAGTGTGAATATGTCCGCTAATTTATGACGTCATGTTGGTTGCAAGCTCTTCAAAATGGTTGAATATCACTGCTATCATCCAAGATGATAATATCAAACTTCACTCACTGGTAAATATCATGAAACAGTGTAGAAAAACGTGAACAGATATCAACAGTTTTTAGAGTTAATACATTTATAACCAGTGTAAGTTGAGCTTGCAACCAACATGACGTCATAAATTAGCGGACATATTCACACATTTACATATCAAACAAATTGAAATATCTCGGGAACAAACTACAAAAACAAGAAACTGAAAAACAAGTTACACTACAACTTAAAGAGTTCTTTCATTTAAGAAAATAAGAAATTTCATGTCACATGCACTTTAAGCTAATAAAACAAAGAATGACTGCATTAATATTAGAGGGGTTATTAGAGGGGAATATTGAATATATTCCCCGATAAGAACAAAGGAAACCGAGCAGGGTGAAAAATAAGTATAATAAAACATACATATCAAACGCATCTGATTTGTTAATTGATATATCAAACGCACCATTAATAGTAGCGGTATAGTGGAAGTTAACTCTGAATCTCTCTAATATGTAAAACGCCCAAAGTCTTTGATTATTCGTTCATGATACGTAGTCTGTCATTTGCATTAAGCATATTTACATATTGAGTCTCCAGGTTTGTGACTTGGGTATTTCGATGTGAAATTGTAGACCAGTTTGCAAATATTCAACCTTTAGTCAATGTTATTTCTTTTCTCTCATTTGCATGTTTAGTGTTGTAGGACAGATAAAATTATAACCAATCTCTTTCTCTTATTTCATGGAATGATCAGAACAAAGCTGAAAAAATGGACCTTAGTCCGGATTTTATCGAAAAGTGTGAGCAGACCTGTATAAAACCTCAAATATTTGTGTGATATGAAAAGCGGCCAAACTCTACTCTTTATTTTGATCATTCGTTGCTGATGATTCTTATTTTGTCATCGTACACCAAACTTACATTGAGTCTCCAGGCTTGGGACTTGGGTATTTCGATGTGAAATTGTTGACCAGTGGGCAAATGTAATGACAGCTTGGCAGCATCGCAATCCAAGACTAACTCAACCGTGTCACCTTGTTTAGTGAGATTACTTAAAGCATGATCAATCGTAAATGACCCCTCTTTCGCTTTTCGACCAATATGTCCGAGTGTCCATCCATACGAAACAGGCCATGCATGCGAAGTGTTATTCGGTGGTACAACATTCGCTTTCGCTATGCCAACAAACATCCAATTATTATTTTTAAACGACTCCAACTTCAACTTAAGACTCACAATGCCTTGTTGGTAAATATTTTCTCCCAGAACATATTTATTATCTGCACCAGGACCATGAACTGCAACCGTCCCGCCTTCCTCAAGAGTGACTCCAGAGCTGTGCGCATCGAATTTCTCGCTGGGCACTTTTTCAGTGGGGACGATTTCATCTCTTAAACCGAGGTATTCCAGAAGATTATGAAAATTTTTCGCTTGGTCTTCGGGGACTTTCGGCAATGTCGCGGGATTCTCTGGTGTGGCAATTTTCTTCGCGCGCAGGTATTCCAATATAACAAGAAAATACTGGGGGTTGAAATCGAAAAATATGGCGCCATCTTTATCGCGCTCGAGACTGTCCTCCCAACGTCCACTGAACATTGAGGCGAGCAGCGAACCTTCTACTTGACAAAGAGTAGATCTTTTTGTGGTTAATTTGTGACCACCAACGTTGAGGTGTATGATATCGTTGTCGCTGACTTTGACGGCTTTCATTCTTTGCTTCTCTGCGTTGTAAGCGTCTAGTTCCGCCTTCATTTTGGTTCGCTCCCCTTCAATAATTTCATTAAATCGCTTCGCCACTATTTCATCAATTTTCACTAACAAATCTTCATCGCTCATTTTGTCGCGTTCTAAATACACTGAGAATGATTTTGAGTTTGATAAATGACACCAACAGGCAAGCTCGTCTTCCTTGTAGAAGCAAACTATGCTGGGAAAATAATATTGCGAAATCGGCTTTGTCGTTTTTATGCAAATACTGACATCCGGAGACAAATTGTTATGACCTTATGACATTGAAAATTAGTAGCTTGTGAATATTTTACGGCGTTTTGCAGCTGAACTTGTGTCAAAAGCATTCCATAACTAGAAACACGACGTCTTCATTGTGGAAACAGTTTAAAGTCTACATTGAAAATTGGTTTGTATGTTTTCATGCTGATGTTAAACAACGAGTTATCTCTAATTGCATCACGTCAGCGAATGAAACCAGTCATCTAAGAAATTTATACACAAGACAGTGTCGGTGGCCTTTACATTTTAACGTGTTTATTAAATGACTTGGAATTGACCAAGATAAGCTCTTGTTATTAACTTGATATGTGGATGACTCTAAAATTCTAGCAATCATTGCTAGAGGTCTATGAGATAAAATATCAGACGTAGCTTTGTTAAGGTTTATGGAATGCGCTGAGATAAACAGTATGCCTTGTAATACTATAGTAAATGAAAGAATAAGTGTGGACCTTCGATTCCTGAAGCCGATTACAGACTAGCAAGTTTTCTATGACAAGTTTTTATGTGACAAGTTTTATTTCCTCGTCTGTACGCGCAACTTTGACAATTTTTGCCATTACAAGTGCACTTGTTCAAACTACCTAGCATACTAGCTTTTGAACAAGTAGTTCAGTAATTTTAGCTCATTTTATGGCCAAGGTTGGAAAAAAATAGTAAAAAGCTAAAAATTGTTAGATGCAATCATTTAACTATCCTGAACAATATACTAAAAGTCCCCATGTATCCTCTTGGAGCTTTTTCCATTATGACAAGCCTTTTCGATTTCGCTACTACTCCCATATTGTTAAAGGGTATGGCAACAAAACATTTTATTGATTTTATTGCTTCATCTGAAAAAGCATGAAAAAATAAGCCGATTGGTTGTTTAATGCTCTATTCTATCTCATCTGGTTCCGAAGTTATACGCAAAAATGTGCAAAATATAAATTGCTGATTCAGCACATTCTGTGACGTCATAAGCTGGGTAAGTATGTTTATTGAATAGTAAACTAAAGCATAGCTAAGTTATTATTGGCTCAAATCAAATGAAATTTTGCATACAGATAGTACATGATGAGATGCATGGGAAAATACTTGTAATTTCGTTGTCAAGGCAACACAGTCGTTCCCAGGCCCCTTACACTGATTTTGAATAACTAGTTGCATTTATCTATGTGTATGTCATTTTCGAATTATTATCATGCAAGTAAACTTTTGGCATGCATAGGTATCATACACATACTTCTGATATTATTTTATTTTTATCAGTACCTTGAATAAAGCTGTTTCATAGAATTGGCGCAAGGGGCCTGGAAACGACATTGTTACCTTGGCAACAAAATTAGAAGTGTTTTTCCATGCGTCTCATCATGTACAATCAGTATGCAAAATTTCATTTGATTTGGGCCAATAATAACTGAGCTATGCTTCAGTGTAGTATTCAATAAACATTCTTACCAGCTAATGACGTCACACGTTGTGCTGAATCAGCAATTTATATTTTCACATTTTTGCGTATAACTTCGGAACTAGATGAGATAGAATAGAGCATTAAACGGCCAATCGGCTTATTTTTTCATGCTCTTTCAGATGAAGCAATAAGATAGATGAAGCAATTTTTGTTGCTCATACCCTTTAAAAAACGTAAAAATTCAAGTTCACTCATAACAAAAATGACTCGCATCACTAGAAAGCTACATATAAGACATTTAAACAGTCACCTAAAATTTTCAATCGGTTTTCGAGTTTTTGCTGTTCCAAATGTGAAAAATAGGCCAAAATCTGGCAAAAATCCTGGGTACTAGTCTGACAACACGTTTCCAAGTCTTCCAACAGCTCATAACTCAAGAAGAACTTGCAAAATCAAGGTAGCCGTTTAAATGTCTTATATGTAGTTTTTTGTAAGTTTTCTAATGATGTAACTTATTTTTCCTATAAATGAATCTGAAATTTCACTTTTTCAACAACATAGGAGTTCACTAGGGAAATCGAACAAAAAAGTTGTCATAATGGAGAAAGTTCCAAGAGGATACATGAGGAGTTTTAGTATGTTATCAAGGTTGCCGAAGAGAGTGCATACGCCAATTTTTGGCTTTTTACTAATTTTTCCGTCCTATTTTCTATTTTGATTGTACTAAAGTGCACTTGTCATAGAAGAAATTGTCAAAGTACATATTTTGTTCGTCTGTATGGATCGGCAAAGAAAACTTGTCAAAGTAATCTGAGCAGTTGATGTGATTGGCCAGCTGGCTACTAATAAATTGTCAAAGTAAACTTGTTGACACGTCCATACCAGTAAATAAAACTTGTCATATGAAAACTTGTCATATAAAATTTGTTGCATATACACACGTGCACTTGGCGAATAAAACTTGTCACATAAAAACTTGTCATAGAAAACTTGCTCGCCTTTTTGGAATTTTAATTATTTGCCATAGCGAATCACTGGGTTATATAGGGGCATTGTGGGATAAGTTGTGTCATATATTACAGTAGACATCAATATGAAATATTTTACTACCTATATGAAAACTAACACGATGTTTTTTTTACTCGTATGTAAATCCAAATATTTTCTCCGTATATTTGCTATTGATTCTTGAATTTTTAAGAATTCAAAGCTTTAAGGATTCCAAGAATTATAAATTGCCTAGTTCTCGAATTTTTATCTGGTTAGTTTTCAAGTAAAAATATGTGACTTTACGTCGTCCAGCGGAAATCTCATAAAACTGAATGAAGTAATTTAGGGATTTTGGGGAAAAACAAAGGAATTTCAGAAACCTTTATGAGAGCCCTGTTCTAAACAAACACTTTTAATAAACATTAATATATGAAATACTTTACTACCTATGAAAACTAACACGATATTTTACTGGTATATAAATCTAAATATTTTGTCCATATATTTGTCATTACTTGATTCTAAATCACTACATGCACTAGTTAACCTAATAAAACAAACAATGACTGCATGCCACTATAATTCTATAACTCAACTTTGATAATGCGTACTTTGTTATATGCCGCATACAAATTTACATCAAGTCCTCAATTTAGCTAAACTTCCGATAATCATATTGCAAGGGCTGGATATATTTACAAAAAAAAGACACAAAGCTCGCTTTCCATTTGAAATTGTCAGACCAGCCATGCTGGGCAGAATTTCTCTCTCTTATAACCCATTGAGTTGCAATGCGCCAAAATACGCCCTACTTTAGTATTTTACTCTGTCTAACGCCAGATGTATTTACTCGTCAAGGGGAGAGTCTTGCATACTATAACGGGTTATAATTTCAAGCAAGATCTGGGCCAAGTTTTCGGACGTCTGATCAAAATGGACCTCATGTTGATTTGATTTAAATTTTTCCGTCAGACCAATCTCAGAAGCGAAAGTTTTGTATTCCATTTAACAATTTGATGGATCTAACCAGTCTGACAGTGTTATTAGAGAGATTCAGATTTCACTTTCACTACCACTACCTCTCACTGGCTTACTACTCATCTGATTGGTTAATCTGATATATCAAACACATCTGATTGGTTAATCTGATATATCGAACACATCTCATTGGTTAATAGTCCATTAATGGTAACGGTAGTGGAAGTCAAATCTGAATCTCTCGAATATGGAAAGCGCCCAAAGTCTTTAATTTGATTATTTGTTCATGATACGTAGTCTGTCATTTGCGCAAAGCAAATTTACATTGAGTCTCCAGGTTTGTGACTTGGGTATTTCGATGTGAAATTGTTGACCAGTGGACAAATGTAGTGACAGCTTGGCAGCGTCGCAATCCAAGACTAACTCAACCGTGTCGCCTTGTTTAGTGAGATTTTTTAAAGCATTATCATCATTTGTATGTGACCCGTCTTTCCATACTTGACCATACTGCCCGAGTGCCCATCCATATGAACCAGGCCATTGACGTGAATTGTTATTCGGTGGTACAACATCCGCTTTCGCTATGCCAACCAACATCCAATAATTATCGTGAAACGACTCCAACTTCATCTTTAGGCGAACAATGCCTTGTTGGTAAATATTTTCACCGAGAACATAACTATGTCCTCCAGGTGGACCGCGAACTTCAACTGTCCCGCCTTCCTCAAGAGTAACTCCAGAGCCGTGCGCACTGAATTTCTCGCTAGGCGCTATTTCAGCGGGGACGATTTCATCGCTTAAACCGAGGTATTCCAGAAGATTACTAAAATTTTTTGTTTGGTCTTCGGCGACTTTCGGCAATGGCGCGGGATTCTCTGGTGTGGCAATTTTCTTCGCGCGCAGATAATCCAATATAACAAGGAAATACTGGGGATTGAAATCGAAAAATATGGCGCCATCTTTATCGCGCTCGAGACTGTCCTCCCAACGTCCACTGAACATTGAGGCGAGCAGCGAACCTTCTACTTGACAAAGAGTAGATCTCCTGGTGGTTAATTTGTGACCACCAACGTTGAGTTCTATTATATCGTTGTCGCTGACATCGACGGCTTTCATTTTTTGCTTCTCTGCGTTGTAAGCGTCTAGTTCCGCCTTCATTTTGGCTCGCTCCCCTTCAATAATATCGTTGAATTCGTTCCTAAATCTCTTCACCAAGTCATCGAATTTTGTTAATAAATTTTCACCGCTCATTCTGTCGCGTTTTAAATACACTGAGAATGATTTTGAGTTTGATAAATGACGCCAACACAACTTTAAATGTACGTAACGAGAGAACAAGGCAAGGTCGTATTCCTTGTAAAAGCAATCTATTCTGGAAAAATAATATTGCGAAATGTGCTTTGTGTTTTATTATGCAAATACTGACAAACATGGTCATGGTTTCCTGTTTCATTATGACAACTATTATTAACTGCTGAATATTTTACGGACCTTTGACCTGAATTTGTGTCTAGTGATTCTAGTGGTATTCAGTGAATATCAGTGAAAGCTTGATTTACGCTACGAAAAATAACCCAGGGTCGATGTAAGTTAACTTTAACCAATGTGAGGGTTTTGAAATGTTGAAAAAAAGCCTGTTTAGTGTTTCAAGGGGGTTAGTTTGAACCATATTCCAGAGGCTAGTTCAAACTAACCTGAGTCCAGTCTATGTTAAATTTCGTCGGGTAAATCGAGCTGAAATAAACCTCAATGTATACAAATCTGTTTTGTGCGGAAAATTTTATGAAGAACTCAAAGCTTTAGGGATTTGAATAATTATATAAATTGCAGAATTCTCGAATTTTTATCTGGTTAATTTTCAAGTACAAATATGTGATTTGTACGTCGTTAAGCGGAAATCACATATTAAAAGCTGAATGAAGTAATTTAAAGGATTTTTGGGGCAAAACTAAAGAAATTCAGAAACTTTTATGAGAGCCTGTTTTAAACAAATACCTTTATTAAACATCAATATGAAATACTTTGCTACCTATGAAAACTAACACGATATTTTACTGGTATATAAATCTAAATATTTTGTCCATATATTTGTTATTACTTGATTCTTAATCACTACATGCACTAGTTAACCTAATAAAACAAACAATGACTGCATGCCACTATAATTCTATAACTCAACTTTGATAATGCGTACTTTGTTATATGCCGCATACAAATTTACATAAAGTCCAAAATTTAGCTAAAGTTCATAATCATATTGCAAGGACTGGATATATTTACAAAAAAGACACAAAGCACGCTTTCCATTTGAAATGGTCAGACCAGCCATGCTGGGCAGAATTTCTCTCTCTTATAACCCATTAAGCTGCAATGCTCCAAAATGCGCCCTACTTTAGTACTTTACTCTTTCTAACGCCAGATGAATTTACTCGTCAAGGGGAAAGTCTTGCATACTATAACGGGTTATAATTTCAAGCAAGATCTGGGCCAAGTTTCGGACGTCTGATCAAAATGGACCTCATGTTGATTTGATCTAAATTTTCCTGTCAGACCAATCTCAGAAGCGAAAGTTTTGTATTCCATTTAACAATTTGATGGATCTAACCAGTCTGACAGTGTTATTAGAGAGATTCAGATTTGACTTTCACTATCACTACCTCTCACTGGCTTACTACGCATCTGATTGGTTAATCTGATATATCAAACACATCTGATTGGTTAATCTGATATATCAAACGCATCTGATTGGTTAATCTGATATATCAAACACATCTGATTGGTTGATAGACAGTTAATGGTAGCGGTAGTGACAGTCAAATCTGAATCTGTCTAATATGGAAAGCGCCCAAAGTCTTTAATTTGATTATTCGTTCATGATACGTAGTCTGTCATTTGGACGAAGTAAATTTACATTCAGTCTCCAGGTTTGTGACTTGGGTATTTCGATGTGAAATTGTTGACCAGTGGGCAAATGTAGTGACAGCTTGGCAGCATCGCAATCCAAGACTAACTCAACCGTGTCGTCTTGTTTAGTGACATTTTTTAAAGCATTATCATACGTATGTGACCCGTCTTTCCATACTATACCAGTCTGCCCGAGTCCCCATCCATATGAACCAGGCCATGAATATGAATTATTATCCGGTGGTACAACATCCGCTTTCACCATGCCAACCAACATCCAATCATTATTTCGAAACGACTCCAGCTTCAACTTGAAATGAACAATGCCTTTTTGGTAAACATTTTCACCCAGAACATAACTATGTCCATCATTTGGACCATGAACTGCAACTGTCCCGCCTTCCTGAAGAGTAACTATATTGCTGTTGTGTTGATTGAATTTCTCACTAGGCACTTTTTCAGCGGGAACGATTTCATCGCTTAAACCGAGGTATTCCAGAAGATTATTAAAACTTTCTGCTTGGTCTTCGGCGACTTTCGGCAATAGCGCGGGACGCTCTGGTGTCGCAATTTTCTTCGCGCGCAGATATTCCAATATAACTAGAAAATACATGCATGCAGAAACCCTCGCCTTGCTGACAAAACCATTGTATTTTCCAAACATGAAGTATCCAAAGTTGTTGTCATGGTAATAACACGATAATTTTTTAAGAATATTCTTACAAATGAAAAATTACCTAAAAATATCAATTTTAATTACAAAATTATCAATTTCCCAACATATATTTGTTAGGTATGTTATTATACGTAATATAAGCTTCAATTTAAGGTAAAATTCAACCACAAAAGCTTCGCAAAACGTTTTAAAACGTTCTTTATAAAACTAAATTGCCTGGCTTTAATTAAATGGCTTTATCGATAAACTTTGAGTTTGCAACAAAATGATTTCAAATTCTCGCTTGCAAATAACTTTGCTTTCTTTTAAGTAAAAAAATTCAATACAATAAAAAAGAATCAATATTAATAATACACTGAATTGACTGAAATTATATGCTGTCTTGTTTAGTTATTTCATATACGCAAAGGGCCAAAGGCCGTCGGGTTTTAAAGCAATTATAAAATCAATATTTAACACAAACTTACCTTCGTTAACGTCGGCTCCCTTCTTTTAGCCGATTCTTTCGCCGTTTCTATCTTGAAAGTTACAAAATCTTGCAAAAATGCGAGTAAAATTGAAGTATATTTGCAAGAAATTTATCAATCATCAAATCTGTGATCAAATCAAGAAATGTTTGCTATTTCGCTGTCGTCATACAGTCGTTGTGATGCAAACTTTAAATTGGACCAATCAGTGTCCGCTATTCATGACAGTCCGCCATATTTTTGAGATCAGTGAGGATGACCACCCACTCAACACCGTTGGTCACCCACGCCCGCGATACTTGATGAACTTTAGACTCCGCTAATGCTTTCGTTTCCCCGGGTGTAAATAGCCGGGGGGAATTAGTACCCTCGCACGGCGCTTCGCGCCGTCGGCTCGGGGACAAGAAAATACTGGGGATTAAAATCGAAAAATATGGCGCCATCTTGATCGCGCTCGAGACTGTCCTCCCAACGTCCACTGAACATTGAGGCAAGCAGCGAACCTTCTACTTGACAAAGAGTAGATCTCTTGGTGGTTAGTTTGTGACCACCAACGTTGAGTTCTATTATATCATTATCGCTGACTTCGACGGCTTTCATTCTTTGCTTCTCTGCGTTGTAAGCGTCTAGTTCCGCCTTCATTTTGGCTCGCTCCCCTTCAATTATATCGTTGAATTCGCTCCTAAATCTCCTCACCAAGTCATCGAATTTTGTTAACAAATCTTCACCGTTCATTTTGTCGCGTTTTAAAAGCACTGAGAATGATTTTGAGTTTGATAAATGACGCCAACACAACTTTAAATGTGCGTAACGAGAAAACAAGGCAAGCTGGGCTTCTGTATGTCTCAAATATTTAGATATGTGTTCATCTGTTGATATTTATGTATAAATTGAAAACAAACCTGCTAAGCAACGGGTATATAATTGTTTGTTTTCTTTTTTGACTTTAAAGTTAGGTAACCAAACGAGAAAGTTGTGCTGGCCTTGAAAGTGTTATATGCTTTTTCCACCAAGCAATTTCATTGTTTTACACCAACTTATTCCTAAATATCAAATTGAGAACAAATTGAGTCACACAGAACTAGCTTTCACTGAATTCGGGCGGATTTTTTACATTTATAGGCACGCCCAAAGCTTTTTTGAAGTTAGATCATAAAATGATTTTGTTGTGGCTATTAAAGCAGTGTTGCTTGGAAAATTTAAGTGTGGCCATTTATGAGCGCGCGAATTTACATCTACACGAGGTTTACCAGTTACATCTGTGGTAAGAAAATATGGTACTCATTTGCAAACCTCAGGTTGTTCAGAATTCAATTTACTCCGCAATGCTACTCTTTTATGGCTACGGCGGAATTTTTGAGGATTCGAAAAATTATAAATTGCACAGTTCTTGAATTTTTGGAAGTACAAAAAGTAGAAACATGTGACTTTAAGTCATCAAGTAATTTGAGGACTTTCGGGGAAAAATAAGGAATTTTAGTAACTTTTATGAGAGCGCTGTTGTAAACAAACACTTTTATTGAACATCAGTATATGAAATAGTTTTACTACCTATGAACACTAACACGATATTTTACTGGTATATAAATCTAAATATTTTGTCCATATATTTGTTATTACTTGATTCTTAATCACTACATGCACTAGTTAACCTAATAAAACAAACAATGACTGCATGCCACTATAATTCTATAACTCAACTTTGATAATGCGTACTTTGTTATATGCCCCATACAAATTTACATAAAGTCATCAATTTAGCTAAAGTTGATAACCATATTGCAAGGACTGGATATATTTACAAAAATAACACAAAGCACGCTTTCCATTTGAAATGATCAGACCAGCCATGCTGGGCAACATTTCTCTCTCTTATAACCCATTAAGCTGCAATGCGCCAAAATGCGGCCTAGTTTAGTATTTTACTCTGTCTAACGCCAGATGAATTTACTCGTCAAGGGGAGAGCCTTGCATACTATAACGGGTTATAATTTCAAGCAAGATCTGGGCCAAGTTTTCGGACGTCTGATCAAAATGGACCTCATGTTGATTTGATCGAAATTTTTCCGTCAGACCAATCTCAGAAGCGAAAGTTTTGTATTTCATTTAACAATTTGATGGATCTAACCAGTCTGACAGTGTTATTAGAGAGATTCAGATTTCACTTTCACTACCTCTCACTGGCTTACTACGCATCTGATTGGTTAATCTGATATATCAAACACATCTGATTGGTTAATCTGATATATCAAACGCATCTGATTGGTTAATCTGACATATCAAACGCATCTGATTGGTTCATCTGATATATCAAACGCATCTGATTGGTTAATCTGATATATCAAACACATCTGATTGGTTAATAGTCCATTAAAGGTAGCGGTAGTGGAAGTCAAATCTGAATCTCTCTAATATGGAAAGCGCCCAAAGTCTTTAATTTGATTATTCGTTCATGATACGTAGTCTGTCATTTACACCATGCAAATTTACATGCAGTCTCCAGGTTTGTGACTTGGGTATTTCGATGTGAAATTGTTGACCAGTGGACAAATGTAGTGACAGCTTGGCAGCATCGCAATCCAAGACTAACTCAACCGTGTCGCCTTGTTTAGTGAGATTTATTAAAGCATCATCATTCGTACGTGACCCGTCTTTCCATACTTGACCATACTGTCCGAGTGTCCATCCATATGAACCAGGCCATGAATGTGAATTGTTGTTCGGTGGTACAACATCCGCTTTCGCCATGCCAACAAACATCCAATCATTATCTTGAAACGACTCCACCTTCATCTTGAGGCGAACAATGCCTTGTTGGTAGACATTTTCGCCCAGAACATAACTATGGTCATCATTTGGACCATGAACTGGAACTGTCCCGCCTTCCTGAAGAGTAACTACATTGCTGCTGTGTTGATTGAATTTCTCGCTAGGCACTTTTTCAGCAGGGACGATTTCATCGCTTAAATCGAGGTATCCCAGAAGATTATTAAAACTTTCTGCTTGGTCTTCGGCGACTTTCGGCAATGGCGCGGGATGCTCTGGTGTGGCAATTTTCTTCGCGCGCAGGTATTCCAATATAACAAGGAAATACTGGGGATTGAAATCGAAAAATATGGCGCCATCTTTATCGCGCTCGAGACTGTCCTCCCAACGTCCACTGAACATTGAGGCGAGCAGCGAACCTTCTACTTGACAAAGAGTAGATCTTTTTGTGGTCAATTTGTGACCACCAACGTTGAGTTCTATTATATCGTTGTCGTTGACTTCGACGGCTTTCATTTTTTGCTTCTCTGCGTTGTAAGCGTCTAGTTCCGCCTTCATTTTGGCTCGCTCCCCTTCAATAATATCGTTGAATTCGCTTCTGAATCTCTTCACCAAGTCATCGAATTTTGTTAACAAATCTTCACCGCTCATTTTGTCGCGTTTTAAAAGCACTGAGAATGATTTCGAGTTTGATAAATGACGCCAACACAACTTTGAATGTACGTAGCGAGAAAACAAGGCAAGGTCGTCTTCCTTGTAAAAGCAATCTATTCTGAGAAAATAATATTGCGAAATGTACTGCCAGTGGTAACATATGGAGATTTTAATCCTGCCGATGGTATCATGTTTCATGGAAAATATAGACAACCTTAAAAAATTCGTAGGTCATACACAGAAGATGAGCGCGCTTGTTTTTGGGGTTTTTTTCCGAAAATAGTCATTCTTGAAGTTCACAGTTTGTCTTGTAATTTTCGCTAATAGTTAAAATAAGTTTGGTATTTGCGCAAAAATAACAAGTATAGGTATTAAATTGCAACGGCATTTAAATTGGGTTGATACTTTTCGTGTTGTGTAATACTATTAAAAGCGCGTTCAGTTTTGTCGAAAATCATGATATCCAAACCGTTTGCGCTAGTAGTCAACTAAAACCCAAGTTACAATAATTATATAATATATTTATGTTGTGTTATGTCCTAAAATGCATTCTCGCTACACTACTTGCGCTGGAATCATAAATTTTATGTCGTTATGTCCATCCTGTCATTTGATATGTTACTTGCGATCTGCGAGGACAAAGTATTCGTTGCCACGCTGTCAAGCGAAATTCCTGAATTCTGCGAAACGATTTTTAAGTCCATATACGATGTAATACCAATAGTATCTAATATAGACATCGCTAAATCTAAACGGCCAATACACGAACTCATTGTTGCTGCTTATTAAAATACTGGTAAATAGTGAGAAGGTCAAACGCGAAACGAAATTTGGTGCTTCTCAGTAATGTATAAAGCATCACCCGTTTGGAACTGGAGTCCGGCTGTTTTATATAAAAAAAAAACGTTAAAAAACGTGAAATTTGAAGTTCACTCATAACAAAAATGACTCGCATCACTAGAAAGCTCATAAAAACTGCATATATAAGACATTTAAACAGTCACCTAAAATTTTCAATCGGTTTTCGAGTTATTGCTGTTCCAATTGTGAAAAATAGGCCAAAATCCTGCAAAAATCCTGGGTACTAGTCTGACAACACGTTTCCAACAGCTCATAACTCAAGAAGAACTTGCAAAATCAAGGTAGCCGTTTAAATGTCTTACTGTATGTAGTTTTTTGTAAGTTTTCTAATGATGTAACTTATTTTTCCTATAAATGAATCTGAAATTTCACTTTTTTAACAATATAGGAGTTCACTAGGGAAATCGAACAAAAAACTTGTCATAATGGAGAAAGCTCCAAGAGTATACATGAGGACTTTTAGTATGTTATCAAGGTTGCCGAAGAGAGTGCGTACGCCAATTTTTGGCTTTTTACTAATTTTTTCTGACCTATTTTCTATTTTGATTGTACTAAAGTGCACTTGTCATAGAAGAAATTGTCAAAGTACATATTTTGTTCGTCTGTATAGGTCAACAAAGAAAACTTCTCCAAGTAATCCGTGAGCATTTGATGTGATTGGCCAGCTGGCTACTAATAAATTGTCAAAGTAAACTTGTTGACACGTTCATACCAGTAAATAAAACTTGTCATATGAAAACTTGTCATATAAAATTTGTTGCATATACACACATGCACTTGGCAAATAAAACTTCTCACATAAAAACTTCTCATAGAAAACTTGCTCGCCTTTTTGGAATTTTAATTATTTGCCATAGCGAATCACTGGGTTATATAGGGGCATTGTGGGATAAGTTGTGTCATATATTAAAGTGGACATCAATATGAAATATTTTACTACCTATATGAAAACTAACACGATGTTTTACTCGTATGTAAATCCAAATATTTTCTTCGTATATTTGCTATTGATTCTTGAATTTTTAAGACTTCAAAGCTTTAAGGATTCGGCCAAGAATTATAAATTGCCTAATTCTCGAATTTTTATCTGGTTAGTTTTCAAGTACAAATATGTGACTTTACGTCGTCCAGCGGAAATCTCATAAAACTGAATGCAGTAATTTAGGGATTTTGGGGAAAAACAAAGGAATTTCAGAAACCTTTATGAGAGCCCTGTTGTAAACAAACACTTTTAATAAACATTAATATATGAAATACTTTACTACCTATGAAAACTAACACGATATTTTACTGGTATATAAATCTAAATATTTTGTCCATATATTTGTTATTACTTGATTCTAAATCACTACATGCACTAGTTAACCTAATAAAACAAACAATGACTGCATGCCACTATAACTCTGTAACTCAACTTTGATAATGCATACTTTGTTATATGCCGCATACAAATTTACATAAAGTCCTCAATTTAGCTAAAGTTCATAATCATATTGCAAGCACTGGATATATTTACAAAAAAGACACAAAGCACGCTTTCCATTTGAAATGGTCAGACCAGCCATGCTGGGCAGAATTTCTCTCTCTTATAACCTATTAAGTTGCAATGCGCCAAAATGCGCCGTACTTTAGTATTTTACTCTGTCTAACGCCAGATGAATTTACTCGTCAAGGGGAAAGTCTTGCATACTATAACGGGTTATAATTTCAAGCAAGATCTGGGCCAAGTTTTCGGACGTCTTGTCAAAATGGACCTCATGTTGATTTGATCTAAATTTTTCCGTCAGACCAATCTCAGAAGCGAAAGTTTTGTATTTCATTTAACAATTTGATGGATCTAACCAGTCTGACAGTGTTATTAGAGAGATTCAGATTTGACTTTCACTATTACTGCCTCTCACTGGCTTACTACGCATCTGATTGGTTAATCAGATATATCAAACGCATCTGATTGGTTAATCTGATATATCAAACGCATCTGATTGGTTAATCTGATATATCAAACGCATCTGATTGGTTAATCTGATATATCAAACGCATCTGATTGGTTAATCTGATATATCAAACACATCTGATTGGTTAATCTGATATATCAAACGCATCTGATTGGTTAATAGTCCATTAATGGTGGCGGTAGTGGAAGTCAAATCTGAATCTCTCTAATATGGAAAGCGCCCAAAGTCTTTAATTTGATTATTCGTTCATGATACGTAGTCTGTCATTTGCACCAAACAAATTTACATGAAGTCTCCAGGTTTGTGACTTGGGTATTTCGATGTGAAATTGTTGACCAGTGGGCAAATGTAGTGACAGCTTGGCAGCATCGCAATCCAAGACTAACTCAACCGTGTCACCTTGTTTAGTGACATTATTTAAAGCATTATAATCCGAACGTGACCCGTCTTTGTATACTCCACCACAATTCCCGAGTGTCCATCCATATGAACCAGGCCATAAATTTGAATCGTTATTCTGTGGTACAACATCCGCTTTAACGATGCCAACCAACATCCAATAATTATTTTGAAACGACTCCAACTTCATCTTAAGACGAGCAATGCCTTGTTGGTACACATTTTCTCCCAGAACATAACTATGATCATAATTTGGACCATGAACTGCAACTGTCCCGCCTTCCTGAAGAGTGACTACATTGCTGCTGTGTTGATTGAAGTTCTCGCCAGGCACTTTGTTAACGGGGACGATTTCATCGCTTAAACCGAGGTATCCCAGAAGATTATTAAAACTTTCTGCTTGGTCTTCGGCGACTTTTGGCAATGGCGCGGGATGCTCTGGTGTTGCAATTTTCTTCGCGCGCAGGTATTCCAATATAACAAGAAAATACTGGGGATTGAAATCGAAAAATATGGCGCCATCTTTATCGCGCTCGAGACTGTCCTCCCAACGTCCACTGAACATTGAGGCGAGCAGCGAACCTTCTACTTGACAAAGAGTAGATCTTTTTGTGGTCAATTTGTGACCACCAACGTTGAGTTCTATTATATCGTTGTCGCTGACTTCGACGGCTTTCATTCTTTGCTTCTCTGCGTTGTAAGCGTCTAGTTCCGCCTTCATTTTGGCTCGCTCCCCTTCAATAATATCGTTGAATTCGTTCCTAAATCTCTTCACCAAGTCATCGAATTTTGTTAATAAATCTTCACCGCTCATTTTGTCGCGTTTTAAATACACTGAGAATGATTTTGAGTTTGATAAATGACGCCAACACAACGTTAAATGTACGTAACGAGAAAACAAGGCAAGGTCGTATTCCTTGTAAAAGCAATCTATTCTGGGAAAATAATATTGCGAAATCTGCTTTCTCTTTTATTATGCAAATACTGACAAACATGATCATGGTTTCCTGTTTCATTATGACAACTATTATTAACTGCTGAATATTTTACGGACCTTTGACCTGAATTTGTGTCTAGTGATTCTAGTGGTATTCAGTGAATATCAGAGAAAGCTTGATGTAAGTTAACTTTAACCAATGTGAAGTTTTTGAAATGTGAAAAAATCCTGTCTAGGATTTCAGCAGGGTTAGTTTGAACCATATTCCAGAGGTTAGTTCAAACTAACCTGAGTCCAGTCTATGTTCAATTTCGTCGCGTAAATCGAGCTGAAATAAACCTCAATGTATACAAATCTGTTTTGTGCGGAGAAATTTATGAAAAATTCAAAGCTTTAAGGATTTCAAGAATTATAAATGGCACAATTCTCGAATTTTTATCTGGTTAATTTTCAAATACAAATATGTGACTTTACGTCGTCAAGCGAAAATCTCATAAAACTGAATGAAGTAATTTAAGGATTTTTTTTTTTAAAAACCAAGGAGTTTCAGAAACTTTTATGAGAGCCCTGTTTTAAACAAATACTTTTATTAAACATCAATATGAAATACTTTACTACCTATGAAAACTAACACGATGTTTTACTGGTATATAAATCTAAATATTTTGTCCATATATTTGTTAATACTTCATTCTTGATCACTACATGCACTAGTTAACCTAATAAAACAAACAATGACTGCATGCCACTATAATTCTATAACTCAACTTTGATAATGCGTACTTTGTTATATCCGCATACAAATTTACATAAAGTCATCAATTTAGCTAAAGTTCATAATCATATTGCAAGGACTGGATATATTTACAAAAAAGACACAAAGCACGCTTTCCATTTGAAATGGTCAGACAAGCCATGCTGGGCAGAATTTCTTTCTCTTATGACCCATTAAGCTGCAATGTGCCAAAATGCGCCCTACTTTAGTATTTTACTCTGTCTAACGGCGGATGAATTTACTCGTCAAGGGGAGAGTCTTGCATACTATAACGGGTTATAATTTCAAGCAAGATCTGGGTAAAGTTTTCGGACGTCTGATCAAAATGGACCTCATGTTGATTTGATTTAAATTTTTCTGTTAGACCAATCTCAGAAGCGAAAGCTTTGTATTCCATTTAACAATTTGATGAATCTAACCAGTCTGACAGTGTTATTAGAGAGATTCAGATTTGACTTTCAATATCACTAACTCTCTCTGGCTTACTACGCATCTGATTGGTTAATTATCATTTATAGACCCGGAGCGAGGGGGATTCGGCGTAATATTTCCCGAAGTGATGATATTTCCGAGGGGCTTTGCCCCATGGAAAATATCATCACTGAGGGAAATATCGCCGAATCCCCCGAGCGGAGGGTCTAGAAATGATATATTATACCGAAAGTTAAAGAACTCACTAAGTTCAGAATAAACTTTAAAACTTGCTGAATATTAAC